GATGGATATGGATGGTTTTATTTTTTTTTATTTTTTTTAAATGATTGTGTGTGGGTATTTGGACATTTCCATTTTGGGGGTTTGTGTGTGTGTTTTGGTAATAGAGTGGAAATAAAGAGAAACATAAGTGGAAGTAAACTGAATGGTGCAGGGAAATTTGTTGTAACTATTTTCCCTTGTTAGCATGGAGGTTGATGACATTTTTGGTGCTTTAGTTTTACTACAAGTGGAATTTGGGGAGTGCTGGACAGTGATTGGGGATTCTTTTGGAAGTTTGAAATGCACCCATTTGAGATAGAGAATGTGTCAATGAAGTAGTGGTGAAGACCTACTTGCTGGGGTTTCATAGTTACTTATTTCTGGGGATATATAAGGGTGGCCTGTGATGAGCTTTGTTGTTTTGATTTTTGCTTTTTTCTCCCTGAATGAGCCTCTTTGTAAAGCAATTTTTTCTAGAGGGAATATCAAGAGTGAAATGTAACATTTTATGTGATAACTGACTATGCACGTCGTATAGAATATCATGTCAACAATCTAAATGTTTCATTTGGTGTTAACCTGCATAAAGGAGCTGAGATTCTATGCAGAATGTTATTGATGCAAGAGAATCTTTGGGTATTATTTTGGGCTGATTGGGTGGGAAAAAATTGAGGTTTCTTGTAATATTTTGGGCTGATTGCAGATGAAACTCTAAACCCTTATTTAATTTTGCTATACTACATAACACTACTCATTTGCCCCTTGCACTTGCATTTCTATTCTGTTTCTTGAGCAGTAGAATGTGTTGCTGTTATCATAGATCCTTCAGAGTTTACTACATAAGTTTTTTGGAACCAAGAATCTATAGCTATGCAATGTGTTCTGTACTTATATTTCCAGAATTTCCTCATACCTTGTAACTTCTGCATGGTTTTCTTTGTTTCCTAACAGCCATTTTTTTAACACCACATTTTTTGTTTGTTGGTTATGGACTGATGAACATAGAGTACATTTAATTTTTTCTACAGGAGCTGGCTTATTGACATTGGAGGATTTGCAAAGAAAGTGAAAAGCAATACTCAATCTTCAGCTGATCAAATCAAGGATTGTGGAGCATATCGTGAATGTCCAAAGTGTAACTGTCATATTGATAACAGTGATGTATGTTAGAGCTCAGCATTATATTCATTCTATTTTCATATATGCTTACTCAAATTCACACATGCACTAAAAATACAGTAATGTGAGAAGCACTCTCTGCCCTACTGTAGAGCTCTTCATGTTACTATTGAGTTTGCTTATGCTCCCATTTCTTTACCTTATATTTTTTCTTTCTCGTGATACACAATTCAAGTGTTTAATGTGTTTCTGGAAAAGTTTGCATATTTTACTTTGTAAGCAGGATTAAATTCTTGAAAAAGTTTAGCATGAATTTGAATGATAGCAGATGTTTCATAAGAAATATTTCTATGCATGTAGGTTTCTGCTGAGTGGCCTGGGTTTCCTCTTGGTGTAAAGTTTGATCCTTCTGACGTAGAACTCTTAGAACATTTAGCAGAAAAATGTGGCATTGGGAGCACACAGCCACACATGTTTATCAATGAGTTCATCCCAACGCTGGAAGGAGACGAAGGTATTTGCTACACACATCCAGAAAATCTTCCAGGTGAGAATTTTCTGATGTTTTTGCGTTCTATTCAAATATGTAAACTTTTACTGCCCTGTCCATTATACTTGATTGATCAATGGACCTGTAAAATAAAGTCATTTTCTCAAACCAGACATTACATGTATTATGTATAAGAGACAACAGATGTCCCTTGTGGAATAGGTTATGGAAAAGAGCTATGAATGACACATTAACGGAATTAGGCTTTCTTCTGCATCTTAGAATTCAATGCATGCTTTTGAAATTGATGTTTGAGAAGAGAAAATAGAACACACTATAATCCATCATATAGCAAGTACATCAAAATATCAATTTTACCTTCTGGATAGACCTGAACCTAGTCAAGATTCAAATCATGTTAATTGATTGATAGCTATGTTTAATCACTTTAATGCATTGTTGATGGGGGTTGAGGGAAGGGAGTCTTTGATTGCCAAAAGGTTTAGTAGCTGCTAATTATGATTGTCTTGTAAATAAGTTTTGGCTATTGAATTAACTGTTCATGGACATATTCGCTCTTTTTCAAGAACTAACCAAATTATGTCTATCTTGTTTTTCAGGTGCTAAAAAAGATGGGCGTTATGTCCATTTTTTCCACAGGACAATCAATGCATATGCTACTGGTCAAAGAAAGCGTCGAAAGATTAATGATCATGGTTTGACTGAAGAGCATGTGCGCTGGCATAAGACTGGTAAGACAAAAGCTATAATAGAAGATGGAGTACATAAGGGCTTTAAGAAAATCATGGTTCTTTATTTAAAATCTAAGAATGGGCCCAAGCCCTATAAATCCAATTGGGTAATGCATCAGTACCATCTGGGGACCGGAGAAGATGAGAAGGAAGGTGCATATGTCGTTTCAAAAATCTTTTATCAACAGCGAAATCATACTGAGAAAAATGAGGAGAATCCAATGACTGAAGATCCTGACAATATGACATTGCGAACAAGTCCAAGGACACCAAAACCAAACCCTCCCAATCCGCCTCGTGTGGGAAAGTCTGTTGATTGCGATGATAACATTGATGAAACTTTACTTCTGTCTTTTGCACAGGTGGGTAGCTATATATGAAGCATATGGTTGAATATGATTATTATTTTTACCTTAAGGTCAATTATCTTATTTGTCTGGAAATTCTTGTTTGTTTGTTTGTTTGTTTGTTTGTTTTTTTTTTTTTTTTTTTTTTTTTTTTTTTTTCTGGTTCTAATGAGTACACGAGTGATGCAACAGTTTTACTCTTTATTTACCATCTACCTTCTCTGGTTCAATTCACTAAAACTAATTTTTTATGAACTAGGATACCAAGACAATCCCTGAAGAATCACATGCCCCACTATCTGCTATTCCGGATGAAGACAATACTGGCAACATTGCATGGTTAGCTGGTGAATCACAGGCTGAGGAAAACACTGATGAATATAATGGCTTAGACGACATATTGTTGTGCAAGGAGATCTTAGATTCTTCTGTGTTGAATGATTCTGGATTGGACTCCATCAATCTCAATGACAATGCATGCTATGAAAACGAAATGGCTAGAAATGACAATGTATCTTGCGGAATTTCTGTCCTGGATACACTGGAATTAGATACTCCAGATTTTGATATTTCTGTAAGTTTCAAATTACCCTTTCTGACTAGGTGACTCCACATTTTATTTAGCGTTCTCTATCTTTCTAACATACTGTGGTTTTCAATTTGCATGCAGAATTGGAATTTTGGTTCTCAAGACAGTATCCTTGAGTGGATCAATAGGTTATGAGGCGCTTTGTGATCGAAGTTCTTTTTTGGTACCAAATCCCGAAATTGTTCCCTTTCAATTGCAATGGTTTTTCTTCTTCTGGGGCTGCAAAGATGGTGCATGAAGCTTAGGTTGTGTCACCTTGTGATGCTTCATGTTTGTAAGCGGAAATAACACTGCCGTTGGTTTTTGAAATCATGCAACTCTTGTCATAGCATGAAGTTTAAGCCATCTAGTTAGAGCTGGAGTTTTGGCCTTCTTCATGTTTGGGTTATTTGTGATTGTTTATCCTATGCCCAATTTGAACTTTTGCCTTGACTCGTTATGCCAGCCATGGAAGTCATGAATGCATCTTTGGCAGTAAAATCCCAACTAGTGTAGCCGATTCTGAACTATATGTACTAGATATCAAGATATGTAAGTGGTTCTATGTGAATATTGACAACTTATAACGAACGTGAACATTTATTCCCTAGCATAATTTGAACAACTATTCTCTGCACTTATGTTCCTCTTAGAGTGTTAAAGTTATCGATATTTATTAAAATTCCTAATATTTACTTGTGTATTATGGTTATTTAGTAACATGTAATGTGGTAATAAATTTTGGACATTCATTATTTATATATTAATGATTCTAATTAATGAAGAAAAAATTCACAAAATATTAGAAAATATGCAAACGTAGAAATAATTCTAAGAGATGATTTTTATGAAATAATACTAATATTGAGATTTGTTTTAGTTTGATGAGGAGTTATAACTTTCCACGGAGTTGATTTTTATAGAGGTTAAGTGTTATTTTTAGTCGTGCCTCTTATAGAGTTCAAATCTTGATCCTTTTATAACTTTAAAACCTAATCTAATTTTATGTAAGGACATAGTTAATTACCAAATTTTTTTTTTTCTGAAGATTTTCAGTAGAGCATTTGATCTTTTATTGATTGGTGTAATTTATTTTCTTTTATAAAAATGAGTTGAATGCATAACTTAATATATTATTATTGTGAGTCCAAACCTCTTATTTAGTTATCCAAGTTGAGCCTATTGAGAATACGTGTATGTTTATAAAGTTTTTGGGTCAAGCCCAAAACATAAGTGTGTTGATTCTGAGTGTAGGGCCTAACGTAATAGTGTTCTTTGATGGTTCATTACTCCATAAGTGTCACTAGGTAATGCTTTCTTGAGATTATAAGAGATTTCTTCAAGAGTTATGCAATTTTTAAGACTTTTTGTTGTTACTTTGAGGTTCCAAATCCTATCATAAGCTCTACTATAAATTTCCACATGCATGTGCATGGGCATGTGGCATTGTAAATGGATAGATAATATTGAGCTTGTAAAATTTGAGTTAGACTCATTTAAATAAATTTTTTATATAACTCACTAATGTAATTAGTGATTTATCGACTAATTTTTTTGACTAAGTCAATATTAATATGCTTCATGAGATTATAAAAGAGATTTTTTTGAAGAGGTATGTAGTTTTTGAAACTTTTTATTGTTGCTTTGAGGGTTCCAAATCTTATCATAAATCCTGCTATAAATTTCTATATATGAATGGACATGCGCGTGTTTTTTTTTTTTTTTAGTAAAGAGGAAAAATTACAAAGATGGTCGCAATGAGGATTGAACTTAGGCCCTCATGCTTCTAACTATCCCAACCTCTCCCATCCAACCACTAGGCTAACCCTAATGGTTCACATGTCCATGTTTAAAATAAATAAATAATATTGAACTTGTAAAATATGAATAAGTCTCCTTTAAATAAATTCATATATAATTCACTAATGTAATTAGTGATTTATTGAGTAATTTCATTCATGAAGTGAATAATCAATTTAGTTTGAAGAACATTGCGCATAAGTAGAAGATGACTAATTAGTATCAAGTAAATTCTTTTTTACATTACTCTGATTTTCTAATTCATATGATTATATATTAAATTATAGTAAATATATTATAGCGAGAAATATTATTTATATTATTTTGCAATATTAATTAAAAATATTTGTTTAAAATAAAAAAAATAATTATAATATTATATTAAATCCGTTATATTGATCCTATGAAATTGAAAAATTAGTTGCAATTAAATAATAAATATCCATATATCAAAACTAATAAATCATAAAAAAAATATTTTATTTTTATTTTTATTTTTATTAAACTTAAATATATTTTTATACCTTTAAATAGAGGCACAATTATTTGTATTTTTATGCCATTTACTTTTAATCACCGTTAGTTATTTGCACAATTATATGGTGTAATTTCTACACTAATTTTTTCTTGTTCCTTCTCCCTCCCTACCTTCCTTTCCCCAATTTGTTACCAATGACATTGTATGCTTGATTTGTTATTTATTAGAGAAAAGTTATTCTTCTATCACTAGTTGTTGTTGCAAAAGACAACAAGAACATCTCCAAGACAATGTTATAAGAAACCTTCTCTATGAACATGTCCAAAGGAGAGAATGAAAGGATAGTTTCTTATTTGATCACACTAACACTGGTGAACATTGTGATTTGATAGATTACCTTAGTGGAAGCGTGCTTTCAATTCCTAGAAATATTTTACAAGGATTAAATTTAGTGGTGAATGAGAATCATGTGAAACAATATACGTGTTTGATTAGGGGCGAGTGCTTCTACCCTTTGAGCCCTTTGTTAATCATGGGATAATTCAAATATAAAGATTTCACCATAGTTTACTCTATTTTAGGGTTTGTTCCTAGTCTCGTTGATTTCTTTTTGTCGTTTAAAAAAATGTTGGTGTTAGATTCTTTTTTTTATGATTTGAAATTTGGAATCCATCTACCTTTGAACTTGAAGGATTCCACTAATTTAAAAACTTTTTACAAGTATTCTCTATGTCACTCCTGACTTAGATGCAACCAACTATTATAGTATTCTTTAACTATAGCCTCTTTAGGCTTATAAAGATATAGAATAACTCTCATAGAGAGAATGTATATGTTTGCTACATTCAGAGAAGGTAGCTTGCTAAGGCATGATTTGCTAACTTATGTGCTTCTCAACTAATAGTCAATTGGATGATGATTACAAGACTTAGAGAAAATTTTAGAGTTTGGGCCTACTAAAGCGTTTTTACAATATTCATAATGTCTAACTATTCACGACTATTAGCTTCTGAAGTTAGACATGAAACACATGGAAGGGGGGTTGAATATGTGTGTTTGTACGAAGGAATTTTAAACGATTTTTGCAAGAATAATGTTCTTTGTCCAATGCACTTTTAGATACTAGACGGTTATGCAGAATTTGCATAACACAAGGTTGTTGCGTTTGAAAGATTTATCGTCTGCTGAAGGAAAATGTTTCATATAACAATGATGATTAAAGTTCTTGCATTTTCCTTTTCAAGATAGTTTCATTTAAAGATAAGCAGTAGATAAAGCTTTTTAGTGTATTAAATATATGTTAAACAAGTTTGTGTTTGTGTCTGAAGAATGATTTCACTAAGAGATTCTGGGTGGATGAAGCTTTTCACAAAGATTTAACTAGTAATGAAGAGATGCGTCTGAGAAATAGGAATTAGCAATGCAAGTTATTTTATACTGGTTCACGCAGGGCGAGCTACGTCCAGTCTCCCTTAACTGAAGGGTTCCACTAAATATGCAATTCAGTACAAAAGTATTGTCGACTACTTTTGACCCGTTGACTTCACTCATCAATGCTAATATTTTCTTATCAGCCTCTTCAGGCTAGCAATGAGTATTATAGACCACCTAGGTCACGACCACTCCTGGTCACGAGTATTCTAGACCACCTAGGTCACAACCACTCCTGGTCATGAGTATTCTCGACCACTCCTGGTTGGCTAGCTTCACTCACCAGCTTTAGTATTCTTAAACCACTTCTGGTTCTCCAAGAATTTTCGACCACTCCTGGCCCGCCAGCTTCACTCACCAGCGCTAGTATTTTCTTATCAGCCACTTCTGGCTAGCAATGAGTATTCTCCACCACCTCCTGACCCGTCGGCTTCACTCGTCGACGCTAGTATATTCTTATTAGTCACTTCTGGCTAGTAGTGAGTAATCTTTGACTAGCCTCTCCAGGCTGCGAATGCCGAAAGCCCGTTTCGGGCCGGTGGCGACAGCCTCTTCAGGCTTTACAGATGATAGACATATAATCAGGTTTGAGTGTTTGGGTTACCCTCACAAAGAGGATACATATATGATCTACACTCTCTAAGGTTTCACTACCTTAGTCTTACAGAGATTCTGAGTGTGTGGGTTACTCTTTACAAAGAGGATACATAAGATTACAACACTCACTAAGGTCTCCTTCCTAAGATACACTCGAAAAACCTTAGACTACAGAGATGAATACAATGATACATTTGTAGAAGTGACTATGAAAGATCGATCTCTGATTTCTCTGTTCTTCTTTTGGGCTTGATATTATATTTGGTGCTTAATGCTAAAAGCCCAGGGCAATGCCTACAGTCATTCTTTTGTTGCTCTTTGCCCCTTTTTCCAACCTTTTCCAGTTTAAGGTTCTTGCATATTTATAGGCCTGTAAAATTTGCCTGTTGCATTTGTCCGTTGAAGCTGATATAGTCGTTCGTGACTAGTTTGATCCTTTCATTTAATGCACTTGATCTTGCATTAAATGTTGCTTCCTGTTTATGAACAATGTGTATACTGTTCTGAATCTGCAGATTCTGACTTTCACAAAAACCTAGGGATTAGTTGCAGAAATGTTATCTTTATCAAAAAAGTAGGTGTCCTTTTTCTGACACACTCGGGATTTGACGTTTTGTGCTTACTTTTCTTCTTTCTTATTCTTTTTCATCGTTTGATAGCCTCGTAAGTCCTTTTATGGGTATAAACGATGTTTGATTTGTTCCTTGAAACTTTTCATGAAGTCTTTGTATGCGTCTGGTTGTTCATGTGTGACTCAGGTTCCAAACTTCATCTGCCCGTATTATCTTGACCCATTGACTTTCTTTCCGTGTTAGGTATGATTCCGTCTGATGTTGGAGAGTGGCATATGCACACGCTCTATTCTTTGATTTCCTGTAACAATGTTTTTCTGAAACACTAAGGCACATATTAGAAATAACAATATTATTATATTTGTCTTATTCAAAACCATGGTGAGGATCTCTTTGTCTGATTTAACAATCTCTCCCTTTTTGATGATGACAAATATAATTAGTCAAATTTATTTAAGATAAAACTTGAAAATTTTAAGCAAAAACTTGAAAACTTGAAGTGCTTTATTTTAGTTATAACCCTGGTGATCATTATGTTATTTATGAGACGTAACTCTCCCCCTGAGTATGTACTCTCCCCCTAACTCAATTTCTCATAACTTGAAGTGCATTATTTTAGTTATAACCTTGGTGATCATTATGTTATTTATAAGACGTAACTCTCCTCCTGTGTATATACTCTCTCCCTTACTCGATTGCTCATAACTTGAAGTGCTTTATTTCAGTTATAACCTTGGTGATCATTATGTTATTTAT